CACTTATACTAAAAAATTATTTGTTGTTTATCTGAAATTCAGATTTAACTGGGCGTCCTGTGTTTCATCTGGCAGCCCCATTTCCCCAGGGCCCCTGTCTGCGCCTGTGCCCCCAATGCCCCGCCTCTGCCCCTAATCCTTAGAGTACTGAGTGGGCAGAATCCCGCTCCCTTTACTCTCCTGTCTGGACACACCACCAAGTCCCACTGCGCAAAAGGCCTCTCCTGATGGCCTGCCCAGGATGTCTCCTGCAGGGTGAGTGGGGCTGTTGTGGGCAGGGTTGGCATGTGGGGGGCTTCGGAGTAGCCTCTGGCCCTGTCAGACGCTTGGCCTGGGCAGCCCTCCTGGCTAAGCATGGGCATGTCGGGCAGAACTAAGGGGGCTACAGCCAGCTCTGTCATGGCGGGGGTCCCCCCTCACCTCTCCTCCTTCTTCGGCTCTGGGGCCCCCCCACCATTACCCCCAACTGGGCTGTGTGCCTGTCTTGGCCCTGCAGGGAAGGGAGCTGCCACCTTCATCTCCCTGTTTCCAGCCCAGGGCCCCGGGAAGCACTGCCTGCCTTTCCTGACTTTGTTGATTCTCCCAGGAATGTTATGGAGTCTGGCACTGAGCCCCTAGTGGGCTCCAGCCCTGGGTGTGGCAGCCAGCGGGGGTGGGGTGGGGGCACACTTGGTATCTGAGGTGCCGGGGCTGCCTGCTGGCTAAAGGATGAGGGTGGGAAGGTTTGGGATTCCTCGCTGTTGGGTGCCCTCTCCTGGAGCCTCATGGCTCCAGACACCAGGGAACCTGCTGTTTCCCTCCCTCCCCTCCCTTGCTGCCTTGGCATGAGGATGTCGCTGTTCCCGGCATGTCTCACATTCCTGCTGGAGCCCATGTGCCTTACTGAGCAAGCACTGGCTCTCACACACGCTGCCTATTTTCCTCCCTGAGCAGACTCACCTTCCTCCTGGCCCAGCAAGCGCACACACACGCGCGCGCGCACACACACACACACACACACACACACACATACACACACCACCCTACACACACCCTTGCTCCAGACCAATCACTCCTTACACACTCTGCTCTCTGCAGGTTACTACTCTGTGCATACAGCACCCCCAGGCCTGCTCTGGCCTCTGCCCAGCCCTGCCCAGCCGCTGCATCCATCCCTGCCCTGTGACACCCCACTGGCCCTCCCTGAGCTTCAGTGGCCCCATCTATGAAAAGGATGGGACTGGGGGATTTGGACCTGGACTTGCCCTTCCCCAGTGCCCCTCCCACCTCTGACATGAGGCAGTTTCCTGCCCCAGCCTGGACCCCCAGGCAGAACTGTTCAGGCCCCAGACCACACTCCCCAAACAGCCCACACAGTTGGAAAGCTCTGGGTCCTGCCCATCCCTCACCACCTCATGGCCCCTCTCTGGGGCCTGAGATAAGCAGGCCACTCAGGGAAGGTGTCTGGGCCCCAGCTGACAAGACTGGATGGGGCAGGAGGCACCACAGTCCTGGCCTAGAGAAGGACCCACCCGGAGGGCATGGGACTGAGGAGGACAAATGTATGGAACACCTGGTCCCTCTTCTCTTCCAGGGCACTGACTCACTTCCTCAGAATCCAGCCTCAGTTTCCTTCTTTATTATCATTTATCGAGTGTCCACAGTGGGCCAGGCCCTAAACCAAGTGCTCTGTGTGCTGAATGTAGCTCTTAGTAGCCACACGCCAGCCCTCCCAACTCCTGATGCACCCCAGCTCCACCACTTACCAACCTGGTACCCCTAGACAAGTTAGTTAGATGCTCTGTGCCTTTTCTTCCTCATCTGTACAACAGGACAGTAAGAGCGTCCTCTTGGGTTGTGGTAAGGCTACACAGGATTTTCGCCGCTCAGTACATGCTCACTATCATTTTCACTGCTATTATGTCAGGATTGTTCTCCCACCCAGTCAGTTGACCATGGCCATGGACGCTGGCCCAGCCCAGATCCAGGATTAAGGTAGAGGTACTTGGACAGATAGAAACACACAGAACCTGTAGGAGGTGGGCTGCATGTGCACTTGCTCAGAGCAGATAGGAATGAGGTCAAGGAAGCATGTGTGGGTTTGGACAGGCAGGACCTATAAATGATCACTGGGTGGCTGGTGGGGAGCCAGGCCCTCCTAGCATCATTGCCCCGCCCCCTTAGCTCTGTGGGTCCTGCCCTTTCTGACACACCAGTCTGCACACCACCCCAGAGTTCAGAAGCATGCACCCTCATTCTGTTTTGCTTCTCCATGGGGTGTGTGGTTTGGAAGCAGAGTGATCCAGGGGCCAGTGCCAGCTGGGCAGGCAAACTGGAATGCCACCCTTCCCCCCAGCAGGCCTCTATGGAGCCAGGGGTGGGGGCCAGGAGCAGGGCCCCCTGCACGTGGGAACCTGCCCCAGTGGGAGACCATGTCCAGAGCTCAGACGACCTCTCCCACGAGCCTGTTTGTAGAAGACCCTGGACAAAGCAGGCCCCTAGTGACTCACCTCTATTTCCGGCCTTAGTCATTCACCACCACCGCCCTGCCCCCTGGCTTGGCACCAGAGGGCTGTGGAATGACCGGGTCAGGGGAGGCGGCCTTGGCTGCAGAACACAGCATGGTTGTCATGGCAACAAGGGGTCCCCTTCCCAAGGCTGAGCGGGTGGACAAGGGGCAGGCCCAGTCATGGTGGCACTACCTACACCAACCCCATTATTTTTCAGGGTGCGAGGAGTCAGACGTTGCCCAGATGTGGGGCGGAGGTTGTGGGTCTGGTGAGCTCCTTGGCCTGGGCATGTCCTACGTACCCAGCTCTTCCAAAAAAAGAGGGTTCCACCTCCTCTTCCTGGCCAGGGAGCACTGAGTGGGCACTGACCCTTCCAGAGGGCCACAGGCCAGACCGTGAGAGACCCCATGGAGCCAACAGGCCCACATGCTGCCCAAGGGGCATCAGCCTCCTAAGGATGGCAAGTCTCTCCTCCTGCCCCTGAAACCTTGGTTCTCAACCATAGTCTTCCTCCAAGTCACAGAGTAGGTTCTTAAAAGTACCTGCTGGGTGAGAATTTCCACCATGGGGTTTACAACTTCTCCCAGGTAATTCTAATGAACAGCCAGGGTTGAGAAACCCTGACCCAAGGTCTCTGACCTGAACTCAGGACAAGTGAGAGCAGGGCTGGGAAGAGAATGTCCATCCCTCCACCTCCCCCTTCTATAAACATTTGCTGAGAGCCTGGCTCATCCCTGCCCTCAGGCTTATTAAAGTCCACTAACATGACAATATGAGTGACTGTTTGTTTTTTAGTAAAAAGTGTTGTTGGTGGTCAGGGAAGGAGAACTTCCTTACATTTGAGGACAAATCAAAGAAGGCTTCCTGGAGGAGGTGATATCTGAGTTGGTCCTTAAAGGACTTTGGTGTGAGGAAAAGGAGGAGATTGGAGGGATCTTACAAGAGAGTGCCAGGGGAAGGCCGGGGTCTTGAGTCCCTGGGTCAGTTTGTAATTGGGCAGGGGGGCTCCCAGAGGAACTGGCCCACTGTTGTGTTTAGTTTGGCCCACACAGTGGTGTTGTGGTTTTTTTCCCTCAAATATGATTTAGTGGCCAACATTGAAAAATCTGGAGATTTCACATTCAGATCCAGATTCCAGTTGCATGGAAACACTGCTCTCTCCTTCCAAAGGGTGTGGACTCTCCAGTTTGCCTGGTTCGCACCTCATCTATTGTCCTGTGACCCCTGCTGAGGCAAACTGGAGCCCTGGGAAGATTTAGAACAGGGTGTGGTATGACCAGGGCTAGGCAGTGCATGCTTGAGGAACTAGAGGAAGGAGAGTAAGTGGTCACACAGCAGAAACCTCCAAATCTTTACTGGGTTCTAGATTTTGCAGCAGGTAATACTGTCGTCTCTGTTTTACCAATGGAGAGCATGAGGCCTAGAGCCATCACAGGTTAGTGTCACCAAGGCCACGCAACTGGGAAGCGACAGATTGAGACTTGACACCCTAGACCTCTGAATTTAAATTCTGCTCTTTTCCTACAGCCCCCTGCCCAGGGTGGTAGCAGGGATGGGGGAGGGAGGAAGATAGGTGCAAGAGAAGAGCTGTTCACTGGAGTGGCTAAGGGCAAAGGTGGCAGAGCCTGACCTCCGGGGTTTGAAGCCTGCTTCCACTTCCTAGCTGTGGGATTCTGGCCAGTTACTTAAGCTTCTCTGTGCCTCAGTTTCCTTGCGTGCTAATACATGAGCAGGGCCTGGCACCTTGTGGCTTTGCAAACATTTGGTCTTATTTCTGAAGGTGGACATTGGCTGGAGAGCATATGTGGGCTAGTGGTGTGTGTGAGTATGACAGTGGCTGGGCAAGGGAAAAGGCCAAATGTCATAAGTGACCATCCTTTTAACAGGGCCACACCAGGGACACCTGGAGATGTGCCAAGGGCTGGCCAAGGCAGGCTGATCCTGAAGACCGTGGCCTGTGACCTTGGAGCCAGAGTGACCTCTGCTGTTCTCCCTTTTCTTTGGGAAAGGAGAGGCGAGGAGCTTGGGTTGCAGCAAGAGAGATTTAGGTTAGATAGTGAGAGGGACTTCCTGATGGTCAGGATTTCACATCAAGGGAAAGGGCTGTTGGTGGCAGATTCTGGGCTTGAAAGCTGGAGGCTGGGATGGAGGGATGTGGCAGAAAGGGCGACCCTTATTGGGGTTTGAGTTCTAGGCTCTGTCTGAGGGCTTCCTTTACTTTGGGGTACTCCAGAGGTAGCTGCTTGGCAAACAGAAGGGAGGGCCCGTTACTGGCACCACTCCCAAGGGAGTCTGGGTGGGGCACGCCAAGCAGGGACATAAAGCCAAACCCGGTATTGGGGGCTTGTCACAATAAGGAGAGGTCTGTGAGGGGTAGGTACGCTGACTGAAGGGCCAAAGCCTGGGTTTGAAGAGGCTCAAGGAGGGAAGCCCTACAGCTCCCAGCTGGAAAGGGAGCCTCTGGGGTTATGAAGGCCAGGCCCGGACACCCGCTGCCCTCCCGCCCTGCAGGCCTGACGGAGGACGAGGACGTGCGCGCCATGCTGCGGGGCTCGCGGCTCCGCAAGATCCGCTCGCGGACGTGGCAGAAGGAGCGGCTGTACCGGCTGCAGGAGGACTGCCTGAGCGTGTGGTTCCAGCGGCGCATCCCGCGGGCGCCGTCGCAGCACATCTGTGAGCCAGGGCCGGGCGGGCGCCGGGCGGGGACAGCGCCGGCCAGACCGCGGCCCTGACCGGCCCGCTTGTTCCCGTCCCTCTCCAGTCTACGTGCAACACATCGAGGCCGTCCGCGAGGGCCACCAGTCCGAAGGCCTGCAGCGCTTCGGCAGCGCCTTCGCGCCCGCACGCTGCCTCACCATCGCCTTCAAGGGCCGCCGCAAGAACCTGGACCTGGTGGCGCCCACGGCGGAAGAGGCGCAGCGCTGGGTGCGCGGCCTGGCCAAGCTGCGCGCACGCCTCGACGCCATGAGCCAGAGGGAGCGGCTCGACCAATATCCTGCCCGCCCGCCTGGGGGCCGGGAGGCTGAGGGAACGGGGGAAGGGAGGGAGGGAGGGGGGAATGGGAGGGGAGAAGGAGGGCCGGGGTCGCAGGGCGTTCCGACGGTGTTCCCAGGCCGAGGGCAGGGGTGAGCACCGCTCTCAGGGAGCCCATAGTCTTCAGAACTGAGGGCAGAGGCAGGTGCCCTTGCCTTGCCTGAGCTCCCAGTAGGAGGGGAGGCCCGGGCCCTCCTTGGGGTGTACCAGGGCTCCCTGAAGGTGGAGACGCAGCCTCCTGTCTTCTGGGAGCCCCAGTCCCACTGACGAGACACTGCTGCTGTCCTCAGGGAGTCCACAGGTTGAGGGAAAAATATAGCTCCTAAACTGGAGAGCCTTGTACTCGGGAGCCCCTAGACCAAGGTGGTGGTGACTTACCTGTCTGTGACCTGTCAGCTGAGGGTAGGTGCCCAGTCTGTAGCTTTTATTTTCTGAGCACCCACACTTGGATTCACTTCTACCTGCACCGGGCAGACTCCAACCAGGATAGTAAGATGAGCTTCAAGGAGATCAAGAGCCTGCTCAGAATGGTCAATGTGGACATGAATGACATGTATGCCTACCACCTCTTCAAGGTGGGCTGCCTGCCTTGAATCCTGGCTCCCAACCCGTTACCACTCCACCCTCTGCCCTCCTGCAGCCACCATCTGAATCATCAGTGCCCACCCCCCTCAGCTTTTGTGGAGGGAGTGGCCTCTCCCTGCAGAACGGCAACATCTGGGCCTAGTTACCCTTTTACCCTCCCTTGAGGCCACTGGGCCAGTACTGGATTGGGGAGTGCCAGCCCAGGACTTCTTTCCTCGCCCTAAGGCAGAGTCCAAGGGTAGGGAGGACCTAAGTGCCTCCATGCCTTCCCTCTCCAAAGAGAGCAACATAGCTGCTGTGTTATTTGTCTAAGTCTGTGGGCACTTTCTGCACATGTGACCACCTGCAGCTTGCACACAGGAGCACAGAATACCCCACACATGGGAGCACGGGGACACACGGGTGGGCTCTCCACCCATGGCCCAGTCGGGGCACGTGGCAGACACCTGTGCCGATGGATGTTGAATCTGAACTGTCTGTGACATTCATGGTGCCCACCCGTATACTTGTGCCAACAGCTCCGTGTGGACTGCTCCATGTTCTTACTTGTTGCTCATTGACTCTGGGTGTGTATGTGTGAGGACAGTAATGTGTACACACAGGAGGGGAGATTGGGCCACCATTTTTCCTCCCACATCTTGATTCTTGGGGTAGGTCATAGTACAGTAGAGGGACAGGCACTGAACCTGAGAGACTTGCCTTAGAGGTCTGCCATTCACAGCTGTGAGAGCTTGAATGAAACCCTGAGCCTCACTAGCTCTCAGTCTCTCCACCTGTGAAATGGGGACACCTGCCTTCCCAGCTGTTGTCGATGATGAATGTCAGTGTGGGCCAGGTTTGCCAGGTGCCCCCTCCCCTGAGCTTCCTGCCCTTGCCCTTCCAGGAGTGCGACCACTCCAACAACGAGAAGCTGGAAGGGGCTGAGATAGAGGAATTTCTGCGGCGGCTGCTGAAACGCCCTGAGTTGGAGGAGATCTTCCATCGGTACTCGGGCGAGGACCACGTGCTGAGCGCCCCTGAACTGCTGGAGTTCCTGGAGGACCAGGGTGAGGACGATGCCACACTGACCCACGCCCAGCAGCTCATCCAGACCTATGAGCTCAACGAGACAGGTGGGGGTCTGATGACACGGGGTTGGGTCAACACAAGTAGGGCTTGGTCTGCCTTCCCAAGTAAGTGGGCTCCGCTATTACTGGCTGTGGGTGCTATCTCGGGCAGGTTACCTCACCTCTCAGAAACGAAGCTTCTACTTCTGTAAAATGGCATAACAATGTACCTTCCCCAGAGGGGTGGGTTGAAGATTAAATGGCATAACTTATGGAGAGTTCAATCAGTCATTGGGTGTTCATTATTACTAAGTTGGGGGCATTTGGGGCCAGACATGGGGTCCCCCGTGTAGCTTGATGCTGTCTCTTCCGCCTCCCTGTAGCCAAACAGCATGAGCTGATGACACTGGATGGCTTCATGATGTACCTGCTGTCGCCTGAAGGGGCTGCCCTGGACCCGGCCCACACACGCGTGTTCCAGGACATGGACCAACCCCTAACCCACTACTTCATCTCCTCCTCCCACAATACCTACCTGACCGACTCTCAGATCGGGGGGCCTAGCAGCACCGAGGCCTATGTTAGGTATCGTAGGGAGGATGGCGGGGATGGGTGGTGGTGGTGGTTAACATGCCTGTGAGCCCCTTGAGCAAACACCCTTGACTCCCACCATGGGCTCCCTGCGGCCTGCCCAGCTTGGTCTGTCCAGCTCTGCCCAGTGGTACCCACACAACACCTCGCTTGTCCATCTATCCATCTGCAGGGCCTTTGCCCAGGGATGCCGCTGTGTGGAGCTAGACTGCTGGGAGGGCCCAGGAGGGGAACCTGTCATCTACCATGGCCATACACTTACCTCCAAGATCCTTTTCCGCGACGTGGTCCAAGCTGTGCGTGACCATGCCTTCATGGTGAGCCCCTCGGGCCCTCCCAGCAACCCCATCCACACGCCAGCCACCTCAGCCCTTCCAAAGGAAGCCCCTGTCCAGAGACTCATTCACTCACCAAGTGCTACTGGGACAGTTGGCCAGTGGGGTATAATAAAGCCAGGTGAGATGCTCTCACTTCCACCCTCATTTTTAGTAAATGTAATAAAACCACAAAATTTCCAGAAGGAAATCTTGGGGTAGGGAAGGACATTTTAATCATGACTCTCAATAAACCATAAAAGAGAAGCTCAACAGTGGCGTCTACACAAACATTGCAACTTCTGTCAAGCTATATAAATCTTAACCATTAACCAATGACAGGCTGGGGGAAAAGTTTTCAACATAAACTACATGGTCAACGTTCTTAACATATAAAGAGCATTTATAAAAGAAAACCATTGTTGCAGCCACCCCAGCCTCCCAGACAGTCCATCCCTTCCCCGAGGTCCCAGATCAAACCTCCGCCCCTGGACCATACACAGGTCCCAGTGTGTGACCCAGATCCCTCCTACTCTCCATGTCTCCCAGAATGGAACCCCAGAGCCCTGCCTTTTCCCTTCTGTCCTGAAGGGGGCGGGGGGGGGGGTGTGCTGAGGGAGGGGTGAGTGACTCTGAGGTTCTGCCTCTCCCCCATACAGCTCTCCCCATACCCTGTCATCCTGTCCCTCGAGAACCACTGTGGGCTGGAGCAGCAAGCTGCCATGGCCCGCCACCTCCGCACCATCCTGGGGGACATGCTGGTGACACAGGCACTGGACTCCCAGAGCCCTGAGGCAGTACCATCTCCAGAGGTGATACTCCCGGGCCCCAATCTGCCTGAGTGGAGGGTCTGGCTGGGGCCCACCCCCTACCAGTCCTGCTCATGCCTTGGTTCAGGGCCCCTCACCTCTTGCTGCCTTAAATTTGCAGTCCTCTTCCCCCTGCTTCTCCATTCGTCTGACATCTGCTGCCCCATGGTCCTGTCACTCCTGCCCTCTGGCTCTCTGTTCTTGGCCCATTCGCCCTTCTTACCCAGCATTCAAGGCCTCCCATGACTTGGCCCTACCCTGCCTGCTCCCTTCCAGGCCTCTTGCCCACAGAGTCTCTGCAAACTCAGACTTTTCCACCTCAAAGGCCTTGGTTAACACTGTCTTCTCCACCTGGCTCTCCCTTCCCAGGCATCTGCATTTGCCAAATGCCAGCCGCTTGAAATTCTAGCTCAGCTTGAACCGCCTCTTCCAGAGTCTTATAAATGTCCTCAGTCCTCTGGTCAGAGGTGGTCCTTCCTCCTTTCCTCCCAAAACCCCAGAGCATTTGTCCCCTTGGGATGGTTATCCTTTTCTGGCTCCTCGGGAAAACTCCCTTCCTCTTGGGGATTCCTCCCAATCCCAAATATGCAGGGAATGTTGATTCACCTTTGTTGTGTGTGTGATTTGATTTTTGTTATTAGCATGAAAATAACATTGTTGTTAGTTGCTATTGACTCATGGTGACCCCAAGTACAATGAGATTGGACCGTTGTGATCCACAAGGTTTTCATCGGATGATTTTTCGGTAGTGTAGATCACAAGGCTTTCTTCCTAGTTTGTCTTAGTCTGGAAGCTCTGCTGAAACCTATTCAGCATCATAACATACACATGGTTTTAAAAAATCTGAGCTGTACAAGAGTATACAATGAAAAGTATACTGGCTCCCTCAGTCATAGTTCACAAGAAGTAACCATCTTCAAGATTCTTGTGTGTCCTTCCAGAATTTTCCCATGCATATAAATCTATCTATGTGACTATGTTCTCTTTTAATTGTTGCACAAAAAGGATCATGCACTTACATGCTGTATACTTCTTTCATATAAGATCTTTTCTAAAACGGGCACTTTCTCTTTCAATCTGAGCTGCCTTCTCTTTTGAATGGCTGCATAGTATTCTGATGTATAGAGGAACAAGACCTTATTAGCCAGTGGGCATATAGGTTGTTTCCCATTTTGTCCTGTTGGAAATATGCTTCATCTCTGTGTCTCTGTTCCTGCCCTGCACCCCAAGCCAGCCCCTCACACAGCCGTGGTTGAATGACTGATCAACTGGCTGACACAGAGGGTCATGAGGGCCTAATCCTTCCATCCTGGCCCTGATAGCAACTGAAGGGCCGTGTCCTGGTGAAGGGGAAGAAGCTGCCGGCTGCTCGGAGCGAGGATGGCCGAATTTTACCGGACAGGGAGGAGGAGGAGGAGGAAGAAGAGGAAGAGGAAAAAGAGGAGGCAGAGGGTGCAGAGCAGAAGCGGAGGGTGAGTGAGTGAGCCTGGCAGGGCCAGCCTCCCTCCCCCGGGTGTGACAGGGGCAACATGGGGGAGGGAAGCAAGGGAGGAGGACTAGGGGGCTGGAGCTGGCAGACCCCAGCTGAGGCTTCTCTCACAGGCCAAGCAGATCTCCCCAGAGCTGTCAGCCCTGGCTGTGTACTGCTGCGCTACCCGCCTGCAGACCCTGCACCTGGCCTCTGTGCCAGCCCAGCCCTGCCAGGTCAGCTCCCTCAGCGAGCGTAAGGCTAAGAAGCTCATCCGAGAGGCAGGTAGGAGTGGGGTGCTGGGCGCAGGGCCCTTTGCGAGTGGGCAGGGAGAGGTGTCCAGAAGTTAGTCTGGGAAGGAGGTTGAGAGGGCTTTGAGGAGGGGGCAGTCAAACAGTCAGGAGGACACCAGAGAGTGGCTCAGGGATGAGTGCCCACCCAGTGCCAGCCCTGTGCCAGGCGTGGATGGAGGGAAGAGGACACAGGAATAAGAGGCCTGCTGTCTGCCTGCATGGCTCACACCCTTGTGGTGGAGCCAGAAATAGCCGGATAATACAGTAGTGGGTAACCAGGGCTGGATTCCTGGAGCAGGTGATGCCTGAGAAGACACCTGACCTGAAGGATGCATAGGAAGTGGTGAGGTAGTGGGGAAGGATTTCTAAGCAGGAATCAGGAGGAACAGGTTGCACTGAGGCCCGGAGGCATGCTTCTGGGAACCCACTGCGTGGCTGGAGGATGGCGTGGGCGGAATGGGTGGAGAACGACTGGAGATGCCAGGTGGATGATGTGAGTCAGGAATGGGGGAATTTGGGGCCAGGATACAGTGCCAGGTTGTGTGGCTGGAGCGTGTCCTTGTCCCTGTCTGGACTCAGCAGCTTCCTCTTTGAGGCCCCCTCCCCACCTTAGGACTCTAAGGTCAGAGGAAGAGAGGCCTGGGGTCCGAGAGGAGGAGCTGGAGGAGGGGTGGTAACAGGGCCTGGCACTGGGTGAGGGACACCTCAGGGGCTGTCACAGTCCTCCCCCAACTTCTCCTCCCCCACTCTGACCCCCACAAGGGAACAGCTTTGTCAGGCACAATGCTCGGCAGCTGACCCGCGTCTACCCGCTGGGGCTTCGGATGAACTCGGCCAATTACAGCCCTCAGGAGATGTGGAACTCAGGCTGCCAGCTGGGTAAGTGGGCCAGCAGGAGCGGGGATGGCAGGGCACTGCTGTTTGGGGTGACCCCCGGGGAGCTGTGGGAGGCCCCAACAGTGACGGGGCCACATAATTTTCCAGAAGGCAAAAAAAAACCTGTTTTGTGGATAATAATAATTATTAAAAAAGTTGTCAGCAATGTATGTGGGGAAACAGATCCCACCTGTTTGTTCCTGACAGTGTAAAAGTCTCATACATTTTTATGAAGGTAGAAATTAAAAACCTCCACTCCCATGTGCCCCTCCCAACACACATACACACCCAAGAGTCCCACTAAGTCACAGTGATGAGGGCAGGCCAGGGCACTAGCCGAAAGAGGGGAGAATGGTCCCCTTGGGGCCTGGCCCTGAGGGCGGGGGCCCCTCCAGCCCTTCCCTTGACAGCCCTTCCCCAGCCCTGCCCTCAGGTGGTGGGGGATACCAGGGATGAGGTACTGGTGACAGTGGGGGCTAGGTCCTCTGGCTGTCATGAGTCCCCACCCCCAAGCTCCTGAAACTGAGCAGTGAGGAGGGGGGCACTAAGTCCCTGTCCTGACCCTGCTGTGTGTCCCCAGTGGCCCTGAATTTCCAGACGCCCGGCTATGAGATGGACCTCAATGCTGGGCGCTTCCTCATCAACGGGCAGTGTGGATATGTCCTGAAACCTGACTGCCTACGGCAACCCGACACAACCTTTGACCCTGAGTGCCCTAGGCCCCCCAGGACCACACTTACCATCCAGGTCAGCAGCCTGGGCTGAGCCCCACCCTGGGTCCGAGCTGTCCAGGAGAGGTGGAGGAAGATACTGAGGCAGAGTGGGTGTGGTGGGCGGGAGCCGGGGTCTGAGTGCAGGAAGGGCAGCTGGGGCCCAGACTGAAGCACACCTTCGTTCCTGCCCAGGTGCTGACTGCACAGCAGCTGCCCAAGCTGAACGCCGAGAAGCCCAACTCCATCGTGGACCCCCTGGTACGCATCGAGATCCACGGGGTGCCGGCAGACTGTGCACGCAAGGAGACTGACTACGTGCTCAACAATGGTGGGTGGGCCTGTCTGGGTGAACATGGGGGAGGTGCAGGGCCGGCCCTGGGGGCCTCAGGCTCTGACCACTGCTTGTGCCCTAGGCTTCAATCCACATTGGGGGCAGACCCTGCAGTTCCAGTTGCGGGCTCCGGAGCTGGTGCTGGTCCGGTTCGTGGTCGAGGACTATGACACCACCTCCCCCAATGACTTTGTGGGCCAGTTTACACTGCCTCTGAACAGCCTGAAGCAAGGTTGGTGGGGACGGTGGGAGGTGAGGATGGAAAGGGGTGGGGTTTGGGGCGCAGACCCTGGCCACCTTTCTGCCAGGTACTTCCTTAGAGAACCTGAGGTAGATCTGAGCTGGGGCCAAGCACCGGGGTAGGATGTGGTTTGTGCCTGCACAGCCTGGCCTGCAGGGTGGTAGGCAGTAAGCCTGACCCGACTGCCCTCCCCACAGGGTACCGCCACATCCACCTGCTTTCCAAGGATGGGGCCTCACTCTCACCAGCCACGCTCTTCGTCCACATCCGGATCCAGCACTGCTGAGGCCCGGACTGACCCACCCTGGGATTCTGCGGGTGCCATTCTGGTCCCATGGCAGAGACCCTCTCCCCCTTGGAGTGAGGGGCGGTGGGAATAGTAGAGTCTCCAGCCACTCACTGGGCTTTGGCCTCAACTGGATGCTGAGGGCTGCCTCAGCCCCTCCTCTGAGAATAGGCAGTTGATCTTTACCCGGAAGAGTTGCTGATGGGACTTGTGCACGCCAACCCCTGGGGCCTTAGATGGCCCCAGCTTCTCTGGTCCTCGCGCACTTCCCTCATTGTGGCTTATGAAGAGCCTGGCCCGTTACTCCCGGTAGACTTGGGGATCAAGGCGCAGCCGAGCCTTCAGCCCCTCTCTGTCCTCCAGATGGGCCACCCCAGCCTCCTTCCCTTTCCCCCAAGGAGCCCAGCACCCCGTCACTCACCCTGAACTTTAGCCACCCCTTCCTTTCCCTACCAGGCCTTCCTGGCCTCCTCCCTCACCAAGCTCTTAAACCTGATCTCCGTCCCTTCTTAGAGCAAGAAGTATGTGCTGAGGCTTGGGGCCCTGAGGAAACCTAGTACCAAACAAAAACCAAACCCGCTGCCGTCAGTTCGATTCCAACTCATAGCGACTCTAGTGGTAGGTTTTAACTTGTGTCATAGAAGAGTCCTAGAGAGGACAGTAGAACAAGACAATGTATTTTAAAAAATATAGCAGCAAGTTTATTTGAGCCCTTCCACCCACAAACACCTCTATGACGCCACACCCACAGGCCGCGGGAGGAGGACTGGGCTGGAAGGAGAGTCCCTGGGGCCTAGTCCCCCAGCAGTGCTTGCATCTTCTAAGACAGCCAGGGGGTGGGAGGGCTGGAGATACCACAGCTCAAAATAGCCGACCCCTCTCTTGGGTTGGAGCTGCTGCCAGCATCACAAGACTGCCAAGGACACCAATTCACAAGGCCACCCTGTCCCCCAACCCACATACAGGGGGCCCTGAATGGGGAGGCGGCAGGTGGGCAGGTTTTAGCAGGGCAGAACCATCATGGCTCTAAAGAGGGTGGGGACAGGACTCAGGGAACCTCGGACAGGCCCCCACTGTGTAGGCTCAGCTGGGTTCAAGGCCCGTCTGCTCAGCAAGGCAAACCCCTTCTAGCAGCCGATCAGCCTAAGCGAAGGCCTGGGTGGGCTGCTCTGGCTGCCTCTGCAGAGATGTGGGGATCTTGGATGTGGTGAAAAACATGTGAAACGGTTCACTACAGATTAGTAAGTATGCCAAAGTAAGCCCCTGCCGACTGAGTCATCCGCCCTTGTCAGGGATTGAAATTTGAAAAGAGGCTTTGATTCTGTAGGACGTTGCTGTGCGGTTGGGAGAGAGACAGATGGCAGCAATACCTAGAAGCAGAATCTCTGATGTGGTGAGAAAATGTGGAATTGTTCACTACAGATCATCTGGTAAGCAGGGAGTGGCAGTCACTCTGCGCTGGACTCAGGCTGGGAGTGGATTTAAAAAAAAAACAAAAACCAAACCTGTTACTGTGGAGTCAATTCCAACTCATAGCAACCCTACAGGACAGGCTAAAACTGCCCCATAGGGTTTCCAAGGAGCACCTGGTGGATTTGAACTGCTGACTTTTTGGTTAGCAGTCATAGCTCTTAACCACTACACCACCAGGGAGTGGCATTTAGTTCTGATGCATTCCTGTCTCAAGGAGGATGATCAGAATCTCAAGGGGCCCAGAAGCCCCTCTGACCAGGGACCATGGAGGAGTGGGTGGGCACATGGTACTCAGCAGTGTCAGGAAGGCCAGGACGCTGAAATGCAACCCGTGGGGGCGGGTGAGAGCAAGTGCAGCTTTAGTGCACGAAGAACAATTAGGGTCGCCCGGTGCCTGCAGGCCCAGCTCTGGTCAGGGTCCTGTGTCAGGTGAGCACTGGCCCCAAGCTGAGCCCCCAGCCTGCTTCTCTTCTCACCTCTGGTGTAGGAAAAGGAAGGATTTATTATTTATTACTAGGATAAGTTCCCCAGATCTTCCTAAGGGCAAGAGTCTAAGGCTAGAAAGTTGAAAGGAATTGAGTATGAGAGGTGGAGGCAAAGGAGAAACCACAGCTTTTAGCCCTGGAGGTTCCTGGGTGGAGACCACCCATAAGGCTGTGTTCTCCCAGCCCAAATCTAACAGCAGGAATGAAGGTATGAGCCTTCAGGAGCTAGAACCACCTGGTTGAAGCTGGTTGTTCTAGCTCCTGCTCAAGGCCTGACAGCACAGGTGTGAGGGCTAAGGGGTCGGGAATCGTCCGTGAAAAGCCTCACACAACGCCCGAGGCAGGTCCTGCAGCTCAGTGCCCAAGATGCCTGGAAAGAGGCTCAGAGGCGCCAGGCACAGGGGGCCACAGGTAGGGGACCGGAAATGAGGAGAACAGGGGGAAGGTGAGCTGTGCATGTAGATACTTGGCTTGCCCTGAGATCTGATTCAGGAGGTCTGCGTGGGGCCTAGCAATGGCAACGTTAACAAGCACTCGTAACACCTGAAACGCCCCCCCCCCCGGACACTCTGCTAACCCAGAAGTGAAACCATTCCTGAAGCCCACTTTTCAAAGATTAGACAGGCCTATAAAACAAAAAAATAACACACGTAAAGAACGTGCTTCTTAGTTCAAAGATACAAGACCAAATGGGCAGCTCCTGTCGAAAAGCAAGACAAGAAAGCATGAAAGGACAGGAACTAGACAAATGGACACAGGAAACCCGGGGTGGAAAGGGGGAGTGCGCTGTCACATTACGGGGATGGCAACCAATGTCATAAAACAGTATCTGTATACATTTTTTAATGAGAAATTAACTTGAGCTGTAAACTTTCATCCAAAGAACAACAAAAAAGCAGTTCTGAGGCTCATCAGAATCCTGGCCCCTGGCCCAGGAAGGGCGCGGGGCACCTGGACACAGCTGGCCCAGCACCCTCCATCAGAGGACCAAGGGAGCTTCATCCACTCCTGGCCAGTGAAGCCTGGGGGGGCCTCCCACCCCAAGGGGCTCTCAGCCCACTCTATACTGGCCCTTCTGCCAAGGGGCTCAGGTGCTGGCTCAGAGTCCGGCTGCTCCTTCTTACATGGAATGAGCTTGGTTAGCCCCAGCTTCTCTCTGCCGGAAAAAGAGCCAAGTTTGCACTGAAAAAAGGGCAGCCTCGCCCTTGTCAAAAGTTGCCCTGCACAGTGAGCCTTTCTTGCTGGCCTCCTCACCCTCAGGAAGAGAAGGTGCTCTAGGCCAGGCCCCAGCCTGGGATGCATCTGTCCCACTGCCACCTGCTGACCAGAGGAAGACCAGGAGGGCGGAAGGGTTTGTTCAGCTGCTTCCTTTATTAGAAACAAGTGAGATGTATCGAGCAGAACAACAATGTATTTGGTGTTTCCTCCCCCACCCTGGAAATGGACGCCCCTCCCACAGCCCAAAGAAAAGCCAAGACAAAAAGGTGAAGCGGCCCCCTTCCCCATTCCCAGATGTGGCACCTGCCTGCCAGTCAATTTTGAATTGACCTGAATGAACCAGTCCCCAGGGGCAGTCTGTTTGCAGACCTGCCTTCACTGTGCAGGAGGGTAAAACTGAAGTCTCGAGTCTCTTCCCACTCTGGCCAGGTGGGCCAGGCCACAGGAAGGCAGCCCCTAATGGGAGGCAGTGACCAGCAAACCGCTCCTGCCCCTCTTCCCCAGCCTCACGGTCAGCCCCTCTTGCTCTCCTAGACCACAGCTCGGGGAAGCTGTCCCAGGCTGTTGGGGCCATCCCTTAGGTTGGTTAAATGCTGGTCATCTTTTGGGAAAGAATTCAAGACTACAGGGACACCACCTCTGGGCTCCAGTCAGCAGGTAAGAGGGGCTAGGGCAATTAGAAGGGAGTAGCAGGCCAGGCCTGAAATTTTCCATAAACCTGGGCGCTGAAGTGGCTTGGTGTAGGCCAGCCTCCAAACATCATCAAAGTCTTCAGAAACAGGCATTTGGTGGGGGAAACGAGGCCAGTGTCGCCCTCAATCTGGAGCAGAGGCTCATTTCTCCCCAGCACTCTCCCTCACAGAGACGATGGTGGGCGTGTGCCATGGGGACAGTGGTCAAATGCAGAGTCAATCCAAAGGCAGGAGGTAACTGTCATCAGTGAGAGTCCAAAAGCCCACTGCTAGCAGGAATATTGGGTGGTGGGGAATGAGCGCCAAGTTCAGGAAGGCCCTCCAGCAGTAGCTGCCTGAGGCCGCCGGTCCCAGAGTCATGAGCCTGGAGGCCCTGGGTCCTTTCTTTGTTTGGTTCATGTCAGCCATGGCACCACCCGACTGCAACGCTCCTTGGCTGAGACCCTATACCTCAAGCAATTGTTCTCCCTGAGCACTGTGACCCGAAGTCCTGGAAGGGGCTGAGTGAAGAACCCAGGGGTTGTCTGGACAACAGCAGGCACTGAGCTGACTTCTGCAAACCTGGGCAGTGCTGCTGAGGGCCAGGCAGCGTCCCCATCATGAGACACCGGCAGAGTCCAAGGGGCAGTCCACATAGTTTTGGAGGAGACACTGGGCCTCTACCAGGAGATCTGTTTCTTCCCAAGCAGCCACCCGAGTCTTGGTATTTCCATTCCATGACCTGGGTCAACCGAGGCAAAGCACACTCCAGAGAGGCTACTGAACACCCCAAATCCCACAGAAGCAGCTCGGGCTGCGACCTGACCCAGAGTGGACCAAGACTAGGACAGCAAGCCTTTCAAGGTTCCAGCTCCCGCCCAAGGGAGGAAAGAGTTGAGTACTCTGTTCTTTGATATCCTTGCAGATCTGGACAGGTGAGCTGCTCTGGCACTTGGGGGGCTATGTCCGATGTCAGTCAGGCTGTGGATGCAGGCCCTTGCCTCTCCAACTTCTTGTCTGCAGAATGCGGTGTACACCTTGCTAAGAACAGCAGCTTCTTTGGTCTGGGTTCTTGGAGTCAAAGGTCAGCCATGAACAACAGGGAGTGGGGGGTCCCCTGACACCTCTAATGAAAATCCAGTACGTGGAGTCGATGGCTCCAGTGCAGTCTACGGAGGGCAGGAAGCATTCCGGTAGGTGGTGCAGCCCCCATCCCAAGCACACGATTCCCTCCAGCTTTGAGGACTCTGCAGAATTAGCCTGTGGCACATCTCAGCCCAAACCCACAGCCTGAAAACAAACCCCTGTTCCTGCAGAGAGTGACTTCAGTTAGTGGGACCAGGCTGAGCCTAACTCCTGGCTAAGGCTTCATTCCGCCTAAAAGAACCGAGAATGAAAGCAGCAAGGAAACCCCACACATCACATTATCCGTCCACTTACGTCTTCCTAAAGTTACGTGCAAGCCTGGAAGGGGGTGGCTGACAACTGCACAGCCTGGTTCTCCCCAAGCCACTTGGCGGAGCACAACCAAGAACTGCCTACGTGGACAAGCCATGTGCCCAGAGGCTCAATTATGCTTTGGAAAACTGGCAGCATCACTAACCACCACCACCACCACCATCCACAAAGCATCATCAGTGGCGATGTGAAATAATTTCTGCAGCCAAGTCTAGATCTTCCTCTACTCACCACTCCCTGCCACCACTTGCTGGCTGTCTGTCTTGGAAAAAAGCACAAGCAGTGGCTAATGAGCTGACAACAGTTGGAAGGCCCAGGCCGGGTACAGGCCCCATGCCATGCCTGCCCAGCCACCCATCCAACCAGGGTGCTGCCTCTGCTCTCCTGATGAGCTCACCAAGCAGGGCTTGCACTACTATGGTCTCCACAAGGTCCCAGATGCTACAAGGAGCTCCAAGATCCCCTTCAAACTGCCAGTCACCCCAGGCAGTGGGAAAGCCAAATCTCACAGGGGACTCATCCCAATAAAGCTGGCAACTGCTGGCTAAAAAGCCCTTTTAAATTGGTCAGTAGGATGACTTCCCACAGGGAGCAGGCCAAGGGGATGGCAGAAGGGACTTGATGTATGAAATCTGCTTCCACTGATCTTCCCTGCTGCCCAGTCTCAAACGCAAAAAGCTTTGGACCCTTCAGGAACGCCCTGATTGTGGGTCAGCCATCCAGGAGGTCGACCTGCTGTTCTGAGAGATCGGAGCCCTCCCCAAAGCCTGGTAGAGTCCCTGTGCCTTCCCCTTCCTTCACAAAGCCAATCATTCCAGCCAATTCAGAAGGGGAACTGCCTAAGATTCCCCAGATCCTCTTTCTGCTGCTCCCCCAAGAGAAGTCGCTGCCTGCTTCCAGAAGCAAACAATTCCTGTATCAATATGTGTCCTTCTGGCACTGTTCTTGGGTTCTAATTTTGAGGAATGATCTGGATACAGCTTTTCATTAGAGACCAAATATCCTTGTACATTTGGAACATGAATGATATTTAAAATATTTATATATATATAATATATATATTTTTATTATTCACCCGTTAATTCCATAATATGCCAATCACAAGCTAGTTTTCAGCAGTTACATTCCCTTGATCACGGCTGCATGAAGATGTGGTTAATTGGAAAACAGAGACCAAAGACACGGCCAGAGGTGACATCACGCAGCCTATGCCATCGCAATACAATTGTCAAATTCAATGGCGTTTGGTAAAGCCAGTTCAGTTCTGTTCCCTTTGCCAGGGATTCTCACGTTTGTGAAAATCAGACCAACAAGTGGTGGGGTTCCATTTCCTGGTTTGAATTCTCAGTGGCTTTATCCAGAATTTCACTGGCGACTGGTTACTGTAACACCAGTCCAACCTAGGAAAGCCAACAGGGAGAGGCAGAGTTGAGATGACAGTTGTCCAAAGACTCGTACACTTCCCCATCCCATCCTGAAGTTCGACTGACTGAGCCAGACTCCACCTGTATGGTGGGAGCAGACTCCCAGCAGAGCCTGGGACTGTCTCACCCAACCTCTGCGCCAGGGTTTACACATCAGATTCTTCCAGGAAAGCCACTGTCAGCATCCTGAAGGAAAACTGGTCAGAAGGCCTCCCTCAGCAGACCTGTCAGTATTTCCTCAATGCTGCCTGTACCCACGCCCCTGGGCTGCCCTTGGGGATGGAGGAAGAAGGGCTATGCAAGTCTCACACTGTGCAGAGGAAATGACCCACCACTGGGTCCTTAGGCTCTGCCCTTTCTGGCTAATGTTCCCACTGACAGTCTGAAATGGCCTGTCTCCAGCCATCTGAGGTGGCTCGCTGCTGAAAGGGGAAAATGACCCTGCTGGCCTGACTGTCGGGGGAGAGAATCTTTCAAGGGCCCAAACACCAGTTAACCAGAGTTCAAGCTGACGCTGTATCCCACACCTGGGGCACTGGCTGCTGGAGACACCAAATCCCTGACAGGTGGCTCAGGCCAACTGTGCAGGAGCCTCAGTGGAAGGCTGCCCATGGCAGGAAGGCGGCACGTACCTTCTCTGCCCCCATGCTGGGGCACTTCCAATTGTAAAGATAATACTGCAGGTTGCCATCCCCTATGCCGAACTTGAGCTTCTCCAGGAAGGTTTTGTTCTCCATGAGATCCAGTGCATTGAACACGTCAAACCCTTTCTGCCCGGAGGCAGGGAAAAACAAGAACACATTAGGATGGATGGAGGCTGTCTTACCTTCCTGCCCCCTTTAATCACATCCAAACCAACACACAGGCAGCCTTGACAGCAATCTTCCTTCAGAAGCTCCCACTGCTTACTTGTCAAAGCCAAACTCCTGCAAGAGCCCAGCTCTCCAGGTCACGTTCTCACGACACCCTGAGCACCACCCCTGTAGCCCGGCCTCTCCTCAGCATCCCTCTGAGCACACACTTGTCTTGTCCAGGCCACTGCTCCTGTTGTTCCTTGTTATGCCTCCCTGAGACACAATGCAGCGACTTCCACAGTCCTCTATGGAGATCAAGCCCCAAACCCTAAGAAGCTCGCTCTCATCAGCTACTTGGCATTGGCATTGCTCCCTCACTCCTCGGAGACCCCAACTCCTAGGCCTTTGGTATGCATCATGGGATTTAATGACTCCTAACTTGTTGCTTTGACACTGTGAAGCACTTCCTCAATCTCCCCAACTGGATCAGCTCTGAGGGACAAGGACTGGATTGTCCACTTCTGGCCTACCTGCAGTGTGCTGGGCTTGCTGCAAGAGGGCACCCAGAAGCACAATAGGAAGGACTGAGCAATGACCTCTCCAGGGTAACAGCAGCCTGGGCCCCTCCACCTCATGTTTTACAGTCAGATACTCCAATGACTCACCAAGACAAAGACCAATCTCCCCAGCCCCATGCTGGGGAAGTTATAAGGAGAACCCCTTTACGCCCAGGGCAGGCCTGGCTATTCAGGCTATTGGCAGCACCGCCTGTGAGAAGGAAACTCACTGAAATAAATGAAGAGTTCAATGCCTGAGCTTTGTCTGGATGCTCCTTGCTCCCTCCTACTTTTGAGCTGTTGGCTGAGAACTGCTGAGACTCTACTTAAGCAGAGCAGGAGAGTTGGGCAGGGGTTGAAGCCTCCTGGCCTCCAGGCAGCTACCTCCTGGGAGCCGTGCTCACCAGCCCTCCACTGTCCTGCCCCAAAGATCTCTGGAGAGATCCTCTAGTTTGCTCCTCACCGTTTTGGCGAGAACAAGGGCGTCACTCATGAGGTCTAGAAGAGGGGTCTGGGTGTGAACGTTGTAGAAAGAATAAGCGGCTTTTAGACTCTTGTGGGTTGGATGGTTCATGATGGTGGAGGGAAGGGTGTAAAAGCTCAGGAAGTCCGTCACCTCACCGTTTGCGTTCTGAAGGGAAGACAATAAAAGGAGGCAATGTCACACACAGCGATACTGCAGTATGAACAAAATGCTTCCTACCACTCATGTCCCCCTCAGGGTGGACACTGAAACCAGATCTGCAGTGAGGAAGAAAATGCGTTGGCCAAGGGCATTTGAGGACAGAGCCAGGAGGAAAATCCAGGCTGGACTGTGGCTGAGGCTGCCTGGGCATTGCCAGGGACCTCTTCTTGCCACTACTCTTCTTCAAGAGTGTGTCCCTGATGTTTGGTCAGCACCAGATCCAGCTGGGACAGGCAGGGAAGCAAAGGCTTACTTGACTTATTAAGAGGGGCTCAGTTCTCTCTACTCTGTCACCACCCTCAGGGGGCGGGGGAGAAAAGAAGAGCTCAAGCCAGTTCAGAGACTATCATTTTCAACAAATGCAAGCTATGACTCTTACTGTCTTTAGGCAGGACCAAACATGGATGGGCAAGGAAGTCTAGGGTGTCAACGCTCCTGTCAGCGATTCTTCAGACACCAAGTCCTGGAAACCCAGCCACTCAAGGAGGATGCCTCTCTGCGAATGAGCCAGAGGCCCAGGATACCCACTGGCCCCACTCACCTCCACCACAAAAGTGTCGATGATATTCTCCTGGGGGTAGAACCAGTGCTCTACCTCCTCCTGGCTCATGACTGGTGTGAGGTGGAACTGCTTCAAGTACCTGGTGAAGAGTTGGTGCACTACTGGAATGTCCTTCTTCTGCATTGGTCGCAACCCAGCTGTCTTGGGAGTCTGAAAGGAAGAGAAAAAAAACCGCCTCAGATGTGCTGAATGTGAAGTCAGTGCCTTGACTCCCTTGAATCCAGGTGGGCAGCCTTCTGACCAGCAGGCACTCAGTAACTATGGGCCAACTAACTGCTGACAGAAAGAACTCCAAGGAGAGAGAAGGAATTTTAAGAATTCCTACCACAGGCTCCTGAAGCCAGGCACAACTGGAGACCACCAACCTGGCTGGATAGATCCAGGGCCCTCGGCTGTCCTCAACACCTCCCTCTCCCTCAAGGCCCACAACTACTCAGGCACCAGTCCTGCCTCTTCAACAGCTTTTGGAGCTTCCCCGCCCTAGTGAAGGCTGTCATCTCTGGCTGAGGCTGCTGGACTGATGTCTCATTCACATGGCCCCAGGCTGTTTTCCTAAGAAAACACAACCCATCTTTCCCTCCCGTTTCAAACTCCCTAACGAGGTCACAAGCCTTCCACCCACTGGACCAGTTGGCTGTTCTGGCTGTGTTTCGTTCCTCTAGCCTGGACGCTCTCAGGCGTGGGGGAAGTTTTGCCCCCCAAGGGACACTTGACAATGTCTGGAGACATTTCTGGCTATCACAACTGGGGGGAGGAGCTACTGGCATCTAGTGGGTAGAAGCCAGGGATGCTGCTAAACATTCTACAATACACAGGGCAGCCCCCCACAACAAAGAATTACCTGCCCAAAATGCCAATGGTGCCATGATTAAGAAACCTGCCTGACCCATGGATGTGTTGGGGGCTTTCCCACCACCTTCCTGTGCCCAGCACAGTGCTACTCCCAGGCCTCTGCACGCGTCCCTTGGCTCCTATCCCAGGCCCCCAGCCTCGCCACACCGCACTGTAACTGATCTCTCTCTTCCTACACTGGTGTCTCTCCTACTAGGCTCAAAGCACTCACAGACAGGGCCAGCCCACAGTCTGCCCTGGATGCTCACAATGTCCGTTCACTCAAGACACCACTGTACCAGCAGTGCCCCAGAGGATACTGCAAGTTAAACTCAGAAGAAAAGCAGCGAACTCCTCGGCTTTAATCTCAAACCAGAGTCCCATCGCACAGCTGCCTTTCTGTAGGAAAAATGCTCCAATGGAATGAGATCATGTGTTCCAGTGGAGAAAATTCTGGGGCTGATAGAGCCTCTTGAGAGGCTGATACACAAAAAGGTGCAGTTGGGCCAAACCTCAAAACAGGGTGGAGTTACCAGTTTATATACCCTCAGTCACTGCCTGGTTCAACTGCTTCCCAGTGCCTGCTTTTAAAACTTCAATTCCAGGGCCTGTAGCCTCTGAAATTCCCTGCTAACCTTGACCTCTCTAGGGAGCACTTACTGACCTTGTTTCTACACAGCAGCTCCCACAATAACACTTCATGTCCTGGGCTGAAAAAGCAGCCATGCCAGGGTTCTCACCCAGATCAGTGGCTGCTACACCACTTTAGGAACACTCTGCCTGCCTGCCTAGAATGCAGGCAAATTTGTCATGGTAACAAGAAGACACACATCATGACTTCTAAAACCTGTTTTTTGGCACAGTGTCTAACTGCACTGCAGCAGTCTCTCAAAATGGGATGCTAATGACCCCAATCCCATGGTAGATTAGCTCGATCCCAGGGTGATTAATCCAGTTTGATGGCTGATGAATCCAGGCGGGCGGCCTTCTGACCAGCAGGCACTCATTAACCATGGGGTGACTGACTACTAACTAGCAGAGTTTTGAGAAAGAGAAGGGATTTTAAGAACCCCTACCATCAGATCCTAAAGCCAGGCATAACTGGAGAATGAGGAGCATTTGTTCCTTTGGGAAACCAGGCAAACTGAGACCCAGCACAGAAAAACCACTCCCCCGAGGCTGCCCAGTCCTCCAGTGGTGAACTCTGGGTGTGGGAACTGGGATTGGAAACATGGTCTTCCAGGCTGAGGGGAGCAGCAGACACCCTACAACTCCCTTACACTGGGCTCTGGGATGTGATGCTGTGTACATGAAGGTTCAGTAAGTGGATTCATCTTTCTATTTATGCTTCACTTCGGCTAAAATTAGAAAGAATAGGTGTTTTCTCTGAGCTCATCAACAGATGGCAGGGAAGCTGGCCCAGGCGCAGAGCCAGGAGAACTGAGAAAGTCAAAATAAAACCTTTGCTATGGATGGGGAGCCCTGGTGGTGAAGTGGTTAAGCACTTGGCTGCTAACCGAAAGGTCAGCAGTTTGAACCCATCAGCCACTCCTCAGGAAAAAGATGTGGCAGTCTGCTTCTATAAAGATTTATAGTCTTAGAAACCCTATGGGGCAGTTCTACTCTGTCCTACAGGGTCATTATGAGTTAGAATCGCCTTGACAGTAATAGGTAATTGCTATAGATAACAGCAAGGACAGAAATGGCAAGTCCAGGAATCTGAAAACTATGGGTTGATTGACTTTTCTGGTAAGAGAACCTCCCCCAGCCACGGCCCATCGCCAGGCTCTCCACAGCCTCTCCCCGCACCCCGCATCGCCCCAAGGCACCACTGGCCTCTGGCAGTCGGTAGAGCTTCATGGTACGCTGCATGGTCATATTTCTGCTCAGGTGGGAGAACTTCACTTCAATCAGCTTCCGAGGGTTTAGCGACCGATGCCAATACCTGTGGGGACACAAGCGTCCTGTCCTCCGGATTCTGGCCAGTCCCATTAAGATAACAGCATGGAGATCTCAGGATGGCCAGCAGGTGGCGTGAGAAACACGTCAGGCTCCACTTGAGCCAGGGGCGCCCCACCCTGCCCTCCAGTGAAAGCAGAGTCTTATTTTCTTCCTCAGCCTCAAAAGCCACTATTTTGTTACTGGGAAGAGCAATCCTCACACCATGCTCTCTTTGGCCTACACAATATTCAAAACAAAATTGAGCCAACCATTAAAAAAAATGAGGACATTTCTCATAAAAATCAAGATTAGCTGGCTCATCCTCAAAAACAAAATCCCCAGCAGATCGACCCTCTACTTCCAAATGGCAGTAGTCAGTAACCGAGAAGGGCTGACCCCTTTAGACAGGGCATGTACTTTCCAGCTGTCTGTTCCCACAATGCTCCCCCTCCACCCCTCCATGCTCCCCACCTGGTTCCTGTGGGCTTCCCACCACCCATTTCACCAGAGACTTATAAGTGAGATGCTCCTGGGCAGGCACTGAGCTGAGAGGTGACACAGGGACTCACAATGACACAAGCCCCTGGACTACAGCAGATGGCAGAAAGAGAGTTTTACCTGCAGGTGCCAACAGGCTTTGGTAGTACTACCCCAGCAGTGTAAACAGCTTGGAAAATGCCCTCCAGGTGAACCCGCCGAGTTATCTCCCGGATCAGGACTGGAGCCACCCTCTTGGAGCGCAGCTTCTTGTGGACACATAAGAAGTTGATCTCCACCATCTTCTTCTCTCTGAAGGAGGAAGAAAAGACCAGGTGACTAGGCTTTTAACAGGGGAAGGTTATCATTTCCAGGGTCTGGGGCTACACTTGGAGGGCCCAGGCCTTCAGTACAGGTATGCATTCTGCTGCCACCTGCCCCTGGCAATCAGATCTTGGACTCTCGCCGCTCTAACAGCCTCTACAGGCAAGAAGCCCGCTTCCTCTTCCACACAAGCCCAATTCCAAAGGAAAGTGCAACTCAAGCAAGCTCCTTTATTTGAAGGCACCACCAGCATCTATCTGATTCATCCCCAACAGCTGGGCTGGAGGTGTCCCATCTTTAAGAGGCAGGGAAGTGGCACAGGTAACCCCTCAGAGTAAGCAAAGGCTATTCTAGGATTTCAAGGTTTTGATTCCCACAAGAATCCATGGCCTATAAGCCCAGAAGACTGTGGCAGATAGTTCTGACGTTTCCAGGGAAAATGGAGAGATAAAAGCCCCAATGATTGTGTGAATCTGGGTTACACCGGCTCCAGCCCATTTCTGAAACTGCACAAAAGCATCAGCAGGGGACTGGTGCAGGAGTGCAAAAATGAGCCTGTTTAGTTAGTGCACCTTCCAGCCCAGGTCACAGACAGGAGAATCAGCAACTCAGAGCAAAAGAGGTAGTGCCGATCATGAATTCCTATTCTCAGGACCCAGGCTTCCTGCCTTTGTGGGACCTTCCCTTGTTCTTTCATTGGTGGGGGGAAGAAGGGGAAAGACAGGGATATGTGTATCTTTTTTCTTCTCCCTCTAAGACCAAGCAGGATGGTGGTGATGTGAAGGCTGGAGGTGGGCACTGGTGCTTACGTGTCATAGATATGGATGATTGCTGGGATGGCACTGATGAACCCAACCAGTTTCCGACTTGAGACCACTCGAACCCCGCAGTGCCACTGGGGAAGCCAGCCGGGCGGCCGGAGAGCCCTGGAAAGGAGACAGGGGCTGGGGTTGTGGTACTGTTTGCAGCAGGCTGGACTAGCTGTTTGGGCTCCACAGCTGCCACCCACTAGGGGTTGAGAGCTGAATTCTTTTTGGGACCAAGCTCTCCAGGACACAAGCGTAACTAAGCCTTGGCCCTTTCTCTCTGCTCAGCCCGCCTGGCCTACTCACTCACTCAATCCAAGGCTGGTATACTGATGCTTTCAAACCCAATCTAATTTTCTTTATGCTCATTTTGACAGCTCAAACCAAGCTACCAGAGGACTAGACTCCTCAGCTCAAGGACAGTGGGTCTGTGGTTGGGAGTGGATCATGGAGCCCCTGGAGCTCTGGCCTCCCATCTGCCCTCCCAGCATCACCACTCCCCTCCCTCTGCTTGCCCATTCTTCCTTCCTCGCCCCCTTCAGGCAGTTCCTCACCACTTCAGCCTTCATGCCTCTACCCTCCTGGATAGTAACTGTGGCCCAGGCACGTAGATGGCTCAGCCAGGCAGGGTCATTTTTATACAACAGCATGCTCAGGAATGGGATAGAAAACAACCCTGCTTTTCTTTTAAATCATAGTAGGTCTTATCCCCGTTTCCTTCTTCCATAAAGTCACTGTACAATAGAGACTTTTCTTCTAGGTACCAGTTCTACAAAGGTCTCCCTCATCCAGCCATTCTGTCTAAACAAGGTTTCATCTCTAAGCTCCCCTGGAAGCAAGTCTCCTTCAGATGCAATGGGAACTCAACAATCACACACTAATTTGCCATTCGAAGGCTGGCTCTTGGCAGGCATGGTGACTGTGGTACCCTGCGGTTGTCCTGCTCTCTGCCTTATACTCAAGAACCATAAGAAAACCCTACGACTCACCACAAAAGAAATTCTGGGGAATAATCAAATCGGAACATGTTGTCATCATCTTCCACATAATTCTCATTCAGGAGGGTGTACAGTTCTTTCAGCTGTAGAGAAATAAGGCGTTTGCTTAGAGGTATTCTGCCAGGTGGGGGACCAACTCCAGGACTCGGGGGCACCAAGCCTTTCAGGAGGAGGCAAACCACCAAAATGCTTGGTCTAATGTCATGAATCCTTCTCACCCCGGGTACGACAGGTCTTCTCGGAACAAGCACCCTAGTTGTGATAGGAATTTGAGCCACTATGGGTAGAGTGGCTGACTTAAGGTACATAAAGTGGCAGACCAAGAATGTTATCCAACTAACCAACCATTCTATCACTTTTGACCTATCAGCAATGGAGAGCTACTGGTTTCTACTGTGCAGTTCTTTGGAGAACTGACCCTTGGGGTTAGTCAAGGAATCACTCCAAGCAGAGTCACTGCCATTTCCTACCATGTCTGGTTTTTATTTTCTGGCCCAACAAAAGCTTTTGACCTTTTTCTCCTTTCCCAGCTGTCTCCACCTGTGGGCCAAAGTCTGGAATTAAAAAATTCTGTTCGTGTTTTCAACGTTCCTTACAGAGGAAATAAAACAAAGAGAAGAGGCTCTGGGCAGCTGAGGTGGGAAGGTGAGGAGAGGCCTTCAATGAGCAGCCCCAACTTATCAGTTAGGGTACAGGCTAGAAATAAGATAAGGGAATGAGTGAATGAAAACAAACCAAAAAAAGAATGAATGAAAGAAGGATATCCATCTTGGGGAGCTACAGAGGTCAACTCTCAACCTGCCAGAAAAGCAAAGTGTTATTTATGTGGAGAATCTGTGTGGGGTCTCTGCTCAGATCTGTTTGGTTCAGCTCTCAAGAGGTTCCTTGAGGAAGGCTAGGTGTAGCTGCAGGGCTTACTGTGAAAACAGCACCCAACCCATACCTGTGGCCTGCCTGGGCCTACTCACCACACCACGGTCCCCCAGGTCCAAGGCGTCCCAGGTGAAGCCCTGGGGCAGGGTGTAGGGCTCCTGGCGGATGTTGTCTTTGTCAGGCTCCACAGGGCCATGGGTGTTCACCACCTCTCCTGGAAGAAGGGCACAGCCATGAGCCTCACTCTCTGCCTTCTTGGGGAGGGAGGGGGCTCAGCTACCCCTGTTCCTAGGAGCCCCCCATCTGAAGTACATACTGTACTCAGCAACAGTAGCCCATACCTCCAGCTATCCTTGGCCTCGTATTGAGGGCCAATCCATGGCAAAACCTCAGAACAATCACTAGGATCCACGGTGGCTGTTTTTTTTTGGAAACCTTTCAAATGTCCCTTCAGTTACTGAATGAGAAACATTTATCTTCACTAATCTGGCTTTGTGCCTCCTGGTTGGTGTAAAGAGTGCTGTCATGGCCCTGGCCTGGGCCCATCGATCTGGGACAATTTATAAGAAGTTGCAACAAGGCTGCTTTTGTGTTAACAGCTACAACAATGTGCTGGGCCCATTCCTGAAACAGATGATGGCACCTAGGCGCCAGGCTCAATCTCAGCCATGCCAGACTTGGCTTTCAGCAATGGGAGCCAGTTACTGTCATTGCCAACCCAGACCCTCAGTGTTTACAGAGTCTTACAAGTGCCCTTGAGCTGAATCACTGAGTCTCCACAGTGCTGCCGGGAAGCGACCCTCACACAATACCCCCAGCCTAGACAGCAAGCCCCTCCTCAGGGGAGTGCATGGGAGTGCTTGGAAGGCACGGCCTGATTCCTATCTAGTGCCCAACAGGACTCATCTGATAAACCTAGACAAACTGACCACCAAATTTTGGCCCTTGAGATTAGTTTCTAGAGTTCAGAACTCATTTCATGTTCATACTTGGAAGAAGGCATTTAGTACATTTTGAAAACTGAGTTTTCAAAAGGTTCCCACCCCGTCAGTACACTGCTCCCTAGCATAGAGCTCTGCACATACTAGGTACTCAATTCATGCTTTTACTATCAGAGTCCTGGCCCAAAACTTCATTGTAGTGTATGAATGAAGAGGCAGCTCGAGGCCCTCAGTCACTGATCCGTGGGGCAGGTGTAGTGGAAACGGCTACAGCAGGCTACAACCTGAGGACACCACCATCAGCACTGACCATTCCACTCACTTTCATTCAACCTATTCGCTGAACATCAACCATGCACCAAACCCCGTGCCTTGCACTAGGACAAAGCAGTGAGAAAGACAAGGTCGCTGTCCTTAGACAGTGTACCATTTTCTGGAAAAGATGTTCAATAAAAAGTCATTACCAATGTGCTAAGAGTCACAAACTGGAAAGCGCAGGCAACGACAGGCATCTAGCAAGAAAGCGACTAGCAACCTTCCACTTACACTCTAGCTCCCTAAAAGGTTTGGTTGCTTGAGCAGTTAAGATTTTTCTTCCCTAGTTATGAAACTGGCCTTTTGATTTATTTACAAAGTAGTCCTTGTGAATTCATTTAATGTAAGTCAACCCACTTCCAATTCTATCATGTACATGAACAAAATCAAATTGGAGCCTACTAAGCTGAGGGCTAGACCCTGGAGTCTAGTGAGGCACTACATTTCCACTCTGTAGTCTTGTCTGGGTGGCCAGACATTTTCCCATCTCTGACTGAATTTATACCCTTTCCAAAATGCACTTAATTTCATAACCTTTTTATTGTTGTTTTTTCTGTCCTGATTTCCATGGCCAAGATACTGTAGTCTTCCCTACTATATTACAAGGCCAGAGCTTTTCATCTGGGCTGGTAACAAGGCCCTGCACACAGCAGGTATTTCCATTCACGATCTGGGACAATTTACTTCACCGAATGTTTACTCAATCCTGGAACACACCAGTTCTGTGATGGGAGCTGGTGAAGGAAATGGACGTAGGTCCTCACCATCATGGGCACCAAACAGACAAGCAAGTACGTATGCAAAGGCCTGCAGACGAAGGACAGGAACTGAAACTAGGAGACAAAGCTGGAGACGACAGCTGGGGTAAATCATGGAGAGCCTGTGAGCCATTCCAAAGAAGCTAGGCTTTATCCTCAGGACTGTAGGATGTCCTTAATGGGTTTTTAAGTGGGAATGGGGGGTGGAGGATGGTGGAGACAAGGTGTTTAGATTTGCATTTTACAAGGAGCATTCAGTAAAGGCTTGTCAAGTGACATTACCAGTGAACTTTTTTATACATTATTCAAATGGTAAGGATCTATCTTTTGTTAAACCAGCTCTCATAGGTTATCCGAAGACTGTGTAATATACGACAGAGCTGACAAAGCAGAGTTACAGGGAACTCTGAGAAAGCAGCAGCCACTTTGAACAGACTCCCAGTCTGGGGTGGCAACAAGGCTGAGACACGGCTCGAGCTCCTGCAGTCCTTCCCAGTGCCCAGCACCGTGGGCTTCTCCAGGGCCTACTCTGGGGTGCCAGCCAAAGCACATGCGGTATTTCAGGTGCTGAACCACTGCTGCTAAGCAAAGTTTCAAATTACCGTGCATTCAGTAAGCATGCACTGACTTAGAGACAAGGGGAAGAGGCTAGGGACTCTGGCCATCCCAGGCTTAAACATTTGCCCAGATAAACAAGACAGTTTCTCTGTATAAAATCTTTGTGGAAGAAAGACCCATGGGCAGACATCCTTGCTCATCATGTGCCAATACAGTTTTTCTTTGTCAATTTATACTGGATGATGACACACTAAAATAATCATTATCTTCAATGTGTGCTACTGTAAAATAATAAAGTCCCTGAATAACAGTCTTTTCTCTACTGCATGTTAAAGACTACCCTCTAATAATAACCACCCAGAACTCTGGAACTCTACTGCTCTTCCTCAGATTCAGCGTGGAACTCTCGTGCAGGTACCACTGAGGCACATCTCTCTCCCACGCCTGGGGAAGAAAGAATATACATACCCAGTTTGGGGACGGGCTGTGTATCCCAGAACTGGTAGCTTCGCTTGCTAGCCTCCTCCATGGTTTTGGCAGGCCCCTGGCCCACTGAGAACAGTTCAATAGCCTTCTGTATTTCCTGGATCCTCTCTGCTGGCAAAGAGTTCATCTGGGCAAGACAAAGTTGGGAAGAGAAAAGGCCCATTATGTTAATAAGTACTTTTGATTAATTACAAGCTCAAGAGTTAAGGGTGGGAGTGGGGTGTGGCTCCTCTGTCCTAATCCCAGAGGTCATATACTGTATGACAACTAGAGAAAGAGGGGTTGATGATGAGCTATCTGATGGGTGAGTATTTCTTATAGGGTTCCTCTCCTTCTTAGTCTTTTTGTTTGATAGCAAAAGTAATACATGCTCAGTATAAAATTTCAAACAATGCAGAAATGTGTAATACATACAGAAAGTAAAAAACCAATAATCTTATCCCTCCAATATAATCCTTGCCATCTTAATCCAGGAGGTAGGGTGGACAGAGGCATACATACTTTCAGACTTTTTTGCACACAAGTTCCAAACACACACACACTTTTCAAAAGCTAAAATTGGATTGTATGATATTATTCTACACACATCTCTTCTTCAAACACCATATCTTAGAGACTTTTCCATTTGAGGACGCACAGACTGGCTCATCTCTAACAACCAAGTCCACCGTGTGCATGGACCACAACATATTTAGCCATCCCCCTTCTCATGGGCATTTTGGTGGTGGTGGTCTTTAGTTTTACAAGCAATGCTGTAATTAACCTTCTTGTACATCTATTTCTATACGATAAAGTCTAAGAAAGAGGCTTGCTGTGTCAAAGGGTGTGCACATTTGAAATTATAATAGATACTGTCAACTTGCTTTCTAAATAGAGAATGTTAATCAATCAATGAACAGAGTTGGAGAGTATCTGTTTCTCCACACCTTTATCATTGGATACTACCAAGCTTGAACCTCTGCCAATTCAGGAGAAAAAAACAGTTTCTATGTGCATTTCTTTCATTGTGAGTTTAACCATCTTTTCATACACTGATCGAACATCTGTATTTTTTCCTTTGTGAACAACCTACTCATTTTATTATTTTTAACTGACTGATACACACACTGCAGATATCTTCCACAGTCTGCTGTCTTTTGACTTTTACAGTACTTATTGCCAGAGTAAGTTTTAAATTGGTCAGTTTTTTCTTTTATTGCTTCTGGGTCTTATGTCAGGCTCAACATGATAAAATATCCAAATTTTCTTCTCTTTTACTTTTTTAAATTTAAATTATGAAGAAAAGGGAGACTATCAACTAAAATGTTTACACTGCTTATTTCTAGGAAGTAGGACTAGAAGTGATTTTAATTTTCTTCCTCTTAGATGTTTTTTCCTAAAATCTATACAATGAAATGTATGACTCTCACAGAGAGGAAAACAGAAAGGCTATGTAAACGGTGTTTTGTTAAAAATTCCTAATTTCCCACAAACTGTTTTAATACCAGGTTGGAGTTCTAATCCCACTGGAGGCATCTGAACACCTACCCCTAAACAAATAAACTAACAATCCTAAAGCCACAGCATGGGCTTGGGCTAGAGTTCATGACAGACAGACTTTGGGTAAGTCACTTAAACCTGTCTTTGAAATGAGAAGACCCCACTTACTCTGCAGGGACGGTGAAGGTTTGGAGCTAATTTAAAGTGAAGTGCCTGCCAATGTGATGGTCAGTTGTTGTTGTGTGCCATGGAATCAATTCTGATTCACAGAGACCCTATGCGACAGAGTAAAACTGCCCCATAGGGTTTCCTAGGCTGTAATCTTCACAGAAGCAGATCACCAAGTCCTTCTCCTGCGGAGTTCCAAGTGCTTAACCACTGCACCACCAAGTCTCCTTATAATGGTCAATAATAGCAGTTATTTTCTTCATAGTGGGTTTGACATTGGAAATAGTAAAAAATTACTTGGAGACACATCTGAGTAAGGTTGTTGTTAGGCGTTGTCAAGTCGATTCCAACTCATAGTGAACCTATATACAGCAGAATGAAACACTGCCCAGTCCTGAGCCATCCTCACATTCCTTGTAATATTTGAGCCCACTGTTGCAGCCACTGTGTCAATCCATCTCACTGAGGGTCTTCCTCTTTTTCACTGACCTTCTACTTTACCAAGCATGATGTCCTTCTCCAGAAACTGGTCCCTCCTGGTAACATGTTCAAAGTATGTGAGACTAAGTCTCACCATCCTTGCTTCTAATGAGCATTCTGGCTGTACTTCTTCTAAGATAGATTTGTTCATTCTTCAGGCAGTCCACAGTATATTCAATATTCTTTGCCAACACCATAATTCAAAAGCATCAATTCTTCTTCGGTCTTCCTTAGTCATCGTCCAGCTTTAACATGCACATGACGCGATTAAAAACACCATGGCTTGGGTCACGTGCACCTTAGTCCTTAAAGTGACATCTTTGCTTTTCAACACTTTAAAGGTCTTTTGCAGCAGATTTGCCCAATGCAATGTGTCGTCTGATTTCTTGACTGCTGCTTCCATAGGTGTTGACTGTGGATCCAAGTAAAATGAAATCCTTGACAACCTCAATCTTTTCTCCGTTTATCATGACGTTGCTTATTGGTCCAGTTGTGAGGATTTTCGTTTTCCTTATGTTGAGGTGTAATCCGTACTGAAGGCTGTGGTCTTTGATCTTCATCAGTAAGTGCTTCAAGTCCTCTTCACTTTCAGTAAGCAAGGCTGTGTCATCTGCATGTCGCAGGTTATTAATGAATCTTCCTTCAATCCTGATGCCCCGTTCTTCTTCATATAGTCCAGCTTCTTGGACTATTTATAAGTAAGGTAGGAGATTCAAATTGGAGCATAACATTTGAGGCATAAAGCAAAGTGTGGCTCATAAGCTTGTAAGGCTCATAAATTCTGTCTGAGGCAATTCTAAAAGGAGAGTTATGGATATGTTTTGAGTTTCCCTAGGGGCTTACTTTGAAGAGCAACACTTACCTGAATGAAAAGGCTTTAAAACAGATGTTTTATTTAAGAAACAAACAATCCTTATCCGTACCTCCGGGTTCCATGTCAGGCAGTCAGTCCTAGGTTATAAACTCTAGGCCAGTGGTTCTCAACTAGTGGAACTCACAAACAGACTTTGTGGGACTCATGGTTTTCACTACAATGACTTTGGCATTAAGAGAATGCTTGCAAATACATAAAGGTCAACCTCAAAAAGAACAGGTTAGGGGCTTAAGACAGAAAAGGTTGAGAACCACTGCTCTAGGCAACAGGGGCTGTTACTACGTAATTATCACTCTATGGCACCTAGCACAGCACCACATGCAATGACGTACCTGTAAATTCTGATGGGGCTCCTTGCTTGGGAGTCAGTGTCTAACCTGCTGTGTCTTTTAAGGTACTGATAGCAGTTTTATCACCTAGGTATAGGACAGCAGAGGGATCCCATTCTTCCATCTTGAAGTAATACCAGTGGAGAGCATCAGTCTAAATTGTTCCTATACAACAATCTCAAAACTCTCTCAGCTGAGAAACTGACCCTCAGTCACAAGAAAACAGAGCCTCCTTGTTACCTTCACAGGCTGATCCTGGGCTGAATCGGTCTCACTGCCTTTTTCTTTCTTCTTTTTTTGTTTCTTTTTCTTCTTTTTGGCTCCGGTGTCATTGGCTGGACTCAAACCACTGTAAGACAAAGTAAATACTGATGCAGGGTTTTTAAAAAATCATCTGTTTTGCGCTACACTGACAAAACAAAGAGCTTTCTGTGGAGCCAGCCCTTCCTTAATCAAACCCATTGGCTTCAGAGGCTGACTGGAGAATCCAGGTCTCACAGAGACATTCAGAGGACACCAGCAAACACCACTCTCCTCCCCACTCCTACCCCACCTAGCCTCCCACGGATGGAGTGCTGGGCAAGGAATGTCCTATTTGCTTGAAAGGGCCTTTTCCATTCTTGCTGGGTTGGTGTGCTTATTTTCTTTAGATTGCCAGGTTGATGGCATCAAAGTCACAGGATACTTGTTAACAGGACATTCATACCAGCAACACTCCCTTACAGCTCTGAAGCTCAAAGGATGACAGCCAAAAGGCAGTAGTCGTCTTTCTGGAATGCTTTGCCCTTCCTTTCTACCCCCATGCTCCAATAGGTTAGGTTTTATTGAGTTTCCTCAGCTGAATCTAAAGTACAAGGCAGTATGGGAAAGGGAGGAAGGGACAAGGAAAAAAGCAGTTTAAAGTTCCTCCGATCCGTGTCCAAAATAGTCAAACGATCATGAGAAATGCCCAAATCAGGCCTGTGGGATGAAGGACAAATGTCAGCTGGCTCAGACTGAGTAATCACTACAGGTAAAATCCAGCACTAGAGATCTAAGGAAAATTCAAAAACCAAACCAAACAAACAAAAAAAAAGACACTCAGCTGCTCCTGCATGAAGAAACTACACGAAACATGGGTGTGCACATGAACAGCGTGAACGAGTCTTCTTCACGCTACTTCCTCACCCCTACATGATGCATCCAGTGAAGGCAGCAACAGCAGTTTCTCAGCCACATTTATCAATTTCCATAATCTTTTATTATCGTTTCCTGTACTGTATCTCAACATCTTTATTGAGATACAAATCATGTATTATACCGTTTCTTTGATATTTTCTATTCATTCTCTCCCAGATGTTTTCTCTCACTTCTTGTTCATTTGGTCTTCCTCTAATTTTAGGATAATGGTTTTGATTTTGGGGTTCCTTCATTTTATTGATGAATTTTAAGGTTCATTTTGCAGCTTGCTTTCTAGTTACTTCTGTAGTTTGCTGGTTTCTGTTGTGTCTAAACTGAGTTGGGTACTGTCAGTCTGGGATTAATGCCTGATGTCACTCTGCCATAGTTCCTGAAAATCTTCCATTAAAAAGACAAAACTTGGAGCCCATGACCATTATGGCAAGTACTATTTAAACTTTATCATTCAGAAAGCTTTCAGGGTCTTAAAATGCCTTGGGGTTATTATGAATATTAATTACTTTACAGTAAGTGGTACTCTCTGGGGAGAAGACAATCTGTAACCAAGTGCTGATATTTCCTTTTGTAGAATATCTTCAAACTCACCTCTTCCTGCTCCTGGCAGGAGCACATGTGTCCAGACTTCATGACCTCACACTGGGACTAAAGTAATCTCCAGCCTTTCCTGGGTCTCCCTGACTTCAGAGTCTTTCTGGATCATCCTAACCTATGTGCAGCTGCAGGACTCACCTCTGTGAAAATGGCTTCCCATGTGTCCCTTTCACGCTATGAAAGCTGCTTAACTTGGAAGGTATCAAGCCCAACCTTCCTCTAGGCACATCACCCTCAGTTCCCAGCCAGCTCGTCCTAGTGCTGGATTTTCCATCCCACTGCTCTAGACTAACTGTCCCAATACCAGTCTGGCCAGGCCTCTCGATGGCCCCTGATGCAGAAAGACTGTGAAGTCAGGGAGATCTAGTAAAGTCCAAGCATAAAGTCATGAGTCTAGATGAAAGTGCTCCTAAAAAAAAAACAACAACAACAACAAAAAACCGTTGCCATCAACTCGATTCCAACTTGTAGCAACTCCACAGGACAGAGTAGAAACTGCCCCATACGGTTTCCAAGGAGCAGCTGGTAGATTTGAACTGCTGACCTTTTGGTTAGCAGCTGAGTTCTTAACCAGTATGCCACCAGGGATCCTACTAGGCATTATATTAATGGAACACAGATGGCATAATACGGAAGGAAGACTGATAACATTCAGAGGGGGAAGAGGTGAACTCCTTAAAACCTGATGCTCAGAAAAACCTCCAACGCCACGGCAAAAAACAGGAACCACAAGTCATTTATGGCCTGAAGATAATTTTTTCCTCTTAATAACTCTTTTTTTTTTTTTTTTTTAAATCACACACAGGCACATTCGCAGACTACGACAACTCTGTGGTTTTCTCATTCCAGAGATATTCTCACTTCAGTCTCTGGATTATGAGCTGCATTATAACATTTAAACTCAGCTGATGTTAGGAGACAAAGCAGTGTCCCACTGTCAGGTATAGTTTCTAAGTCCTTATTCATATTGACTTATGGAATGAACTATGTAGTCCCTGTATATGAATTAGCATAAGGATTTTTATAATTCTGTCAAAGACAGAACGATAAAGTTCAAGGCGAAGAACTGCCATGTACCAACCAATGGGATACTTACTAAACACTGTTTCACATGAGAAAAATAGAGGAAATGACTTCCTTCAACTTTACAAGTCTTTACAAGTACAAACAACCACTATAAAAACTACCTTCCTGCCCCGCCCTTTACTCTTGTTATTCTATGGAGCCATCCTCGTGGAGCCCATTTCTGTTGAAGGATTTTGAGCTGAACTCTTGTTCTGTTTTATGTATTATCAATACAAGTGCCTGGTAAACTCGAAGACCTAAACTAAAACCAAGCACTAATTTCATTTTCCTTGTATTGGCTTGATTTGCACACACAGCTACTGAGCGATGATCTTGTTTCAACTTGTACACCAAGCATACAGACAGATGAAGAACAAAGGCAAAAAAAAAAAAGGAGTCATTTTCACTGAGCTATCAGATATTGCACCACATCCATGAGAACACATTATAAGCTCAAGATAGTCTTACAATCAATACCCCCGGACAGGAAAACAATTGAGTCAGAGACTTGTAAGAAGCCTGCTGGGGTTAACATTCAAAATGATTATAATCAATTTAATTATTCATAAGAAACCATGTTCAGAAGCCTTGAAGTAGGACTTCAAGAAGCATCGCAGAAGCCAAAGCCATCTCACAGGAAAATGGCCTCCATTTGGCTCTGGGGAGCACCAAGCCAGAGTTTGGTACCATGCTAGACCTCTCCAAGAACTCAGCATTGCTTTTAAAGGGCCCTAAGGTCCATACAGAGCGCTGGTGGTGCAGTGGTTAAGAGTTATGGCTGTTAACCAAAAGGCTGGCAGTTCGAATCCACCAGCCACTCCCTGGAAACACTATGGGGCAGTTCTACTCTGCCCTGTAGGGTCGCTATGAGTCAGAATCAACTCCATGGCAGCAGGTTTGGTTTTTTTTTGGATTAAAGTCCATACAGGACACCTGGTGGTGCCGTGGTTAAACACTTGGCTGCTAACCAAAGTCAGCAGTTCAAACCCACCCGCTGCTCTGTGGGAGAAAGATGTGGCGGTCTACTTCGTAAAGACTACACCCCTGGAAACTCTATGGGGCAGTTCTACTCTGCCCTATGGGGTCGCTATGAGTTGGGATCGACTCAGCGGGAACAGGTTGGTTTGGTGTAAAGTCTATACTTACTGGGTGGGTATCCCAGGGCATGCTGGGATTCTGTGAACTGAAACAGAAATCTCTCAAAGATCTCTGTAAACCTGCAAGTCACCTTAACATCCTTCAAACTGAGGTTGGCCCGAACTAGAACCTTAGAATACAACAAGTCAAAGTCCAATTGCTCCATTTGGTTTTCTAGTCGATCATGAAATCATCCTCGAAAACAAAGAGCAGTGAATTAGGTAAAATTTGCCTTCTTTGGTGGGTGCCTGTTATGGAAAGGGAGATGGGAGTCCATACAAAAATTTTGAGACTTATATCCTCTCAATGTAAAGTTGACAGAACCAAGTCATTAATAACCAACTTAGTGAATGTGGGACTAACTAGTAAAATGACAGACCCAGGAACAGGGTCTGTCATCTTTTAAAGAAAGCCAGAACATTCTAAGTTCAAACGTATTAAGAAATCCTATGGATGACCTTAAATAAAGTCAGGGCTAGGGGATGGAGCTGGAAAACAAATCTCAGTACTTATTTCTAAAACAGAATGCAGTGCCAGGGTGTGTGAGTGGGTGGGAGGGACGGACAAGCTGACAAATGAGCAGTGGGAGCAGAGAACTTCCAGACAGCATAAGCGGTGAGGGTCCATAATGGAGGCCTCCCCTCAGTCCTACTGGATGACAAATCCACTCCAAGCTGACAAAGCAGCTATAAGAGGGAACGCAAACTGAGCCACCAGCATTGGAAGGAATCTCAGGGCCATGTGGCTTAACCTGTTATTTACAGATGAGGAAGCCATGGCCCAGAGACATCATCTAACCAACTAAACTGGGGACAAGCCACAGATCCCTGAGAACCTGGGGCCACGCCTCCCCAGACACTAGACTCACTCCTATCAGAATTTATATGAGAATCCTCCGAAGCCAAAAGAACACTCATTCTATTTCACCACACAGGGCCCTTGAACAAAGTTTTAGTGTAGCAGAGGACCAGGTAACTACAGGTAATGAGGAGAGTGATCCATGTTATCCAGAAAGCCTCCACTGACTACTCTAGCTCTCACTGATCACTGTTTTAAAATTAAGCAAAACTAGTTGCTATCGAGTCGACTCAGACTCATGGTGACCCCATGTGTATAAGAGTAGAACTCTTCCATAGGGTTTTCAATTGTTGATTTTTTTCCAGGGCTTAAAAGCAATTCGTTTCAGTTCAAGCCCCCTGAGAGTGTGCATCACCACCCCACATATACTGAATCAGAATCTACATTTTAACACGATCCCTGGGTGACTGTTATATACACATCACCTGGGGATCCTTAAGAATCCCCCGGGGAATCTTGTTAAAATGTAGATTCTGATTCAGTATATCTGGGGTGGAAATGCAAATTCGCAGCAGGAGG